CTCGAACCCTCAGGCTCAGGCAATCCACTCCCTCAGCCTCCCAAAGGCGCAGGATTACAGGCTGAGCCACCGAGCCCGGCTTGTTCTCTCCTCTTTATCTGCCAACCTATCCACCCTCTGGGCTGATAGCCATCCTCCTTCTCACTACCTGCCTGCCTGGCATCCCACCCCATCCACCCACTCCCCTTCCGCCTGACCTCCTGCCCACCCATCTATCCTATCCACCCCCTGTGCTTTCATCTACCATCCTTCCCACCCTTGCCATCCATCCACCCATGAATACTTTGGAAGCCCAGAGCTGGGGTACCCAGAGGGTCAAGGACGACCAGAGGTCAAACCAGGTTGACAGAGTCAGTAAGTAAGTTGCTTCAGTGGGCATGAGTTTCAGTGTGCCTAGGCCATGAAGGGCAAAAATATTTAAAAATAGCAAGGGAAGCTGAGCATGGTGGCTCATGCCTATAATTTCAGCACTTTGGGAGGATGAGGTGGGAGGATCACTTGAGCCCAGGAGTTCAAGACCAGCCTGGGCAACATAATGAGACCTCATCCCTACAAAAAGTTAAAAAATTAGCCAGGTGTGGTGGTACACATTTGTAGTTCCAGCTACTCGGGAGACTGAGGTGGAAGGATTGCCTGAACCCAGGAGGCTGAGGCGGCGATGAGCTGTGAACGTGCCACTGCACTTCAGCCTGGGTGACAGACTCCAACTCAAAAAAAGAAAAAAAATGAAAGAAAGCCCATGGGCCGGAAGCCCCGCTTTCTCTTCCTCTTCTCCATCATGGTGCAGGATCAAGGTGAAAAGGAGAACTCCATGCAGGAACTTCGCATTTGCAAGCTCTGCCTCAACATCTGTGTGGGGAAGACTGGAGACAGACTGACCCGGGCAGCCAAGGTCTTGGAGCAGCTCACAGGCCGGACTCCTGTGTTTTCCAGAGCTAGATACACTGTCAGATCCTTTGGCATCAGGAGAAATGAAAAGATTGCCGCCCACTACACAGTTCGAGGGGCCAAGGCAGAAGAAATCCTGGAGAAAGGGCTGAAACTGCAGGAGTATGAACTAAGAAAAAATAGCTTCTCAGATATTGGAAACTTTGGTTTGGGCATCCGGGAACACATAGATCTGGATATTAAATATGACCCAAGCATTGGTATCTACAGCCTGGACTTCGATGTAGTGCTGGGTTGGCCAGGTTTCAGCATTGCCGACAGAAACACAGAACAGGCTGCACTGGGGCCAAACACAGAATCAGCAAAGAGGAGGCCATGTGCTGGTTCCAGCAGAAGGATAATGGGATCATCCTTCCCGGCAAATAAATTCCCATTTCTATTCAAAAGGCCAATAAAAAGTTTTCAGCGTAGCTGGGCATGATAGCGCACGCCTGTAGTTCCGGCTACTTGGAAGGCTCAGGTGGATGGATCTCCGGAGCCCAGCAGGTGGACGCTGGAGTGGCTGTGAGCGTACCACTGCATTCCAGCTTGGATGACGAGTGAGACTCCAATTAAAAAAAAAACAAAAAACCCAGCAAAGCATTCTATATCTGCAAACAATTCAACTTTAGATTGTTAAAAAATCCCACTGTGGTACTATCCTGTGGACAACAGGGTAGGTAAAATTCCATAAATGTTTCAGTACCTCTCTATTTTGTCCCAATGACTTCCTGAGTAATAGATCATTGTTAACATTTAAGCCCTGCTTTTTGAGGTTTTAACTAGCTCAGCATTGTAAGACCAAACTACAAAGTACTGAAGAAAATCTGACCAGAAGGCTGCAAATAACATCTTCGTTGATCATTTTCCACATCAGATCCTCCCCAGATAATGCAGGCTTTCTTTATTTCAGGTATGTATTGCTCTTCAGATCATGAGAGTCTAGTGCAGCATACCTGGAACATAGTCAGGGGCAAAGAGATTGTCACACATATCTCTAGTTTGGTAGGCCCCTGGGTAACCTCTTTCTTTTTTTCTTTTTTTGAGTTGAGGTCCCACTCTATTGCCCAGGCAGGAATGCAGTGGCACTCTCACAGCCACCGCAGCCTCGACCTGCTGGTCTCAAGAGATCCTTCCATCTCAGTCTTCTGAGTAGCGGGAACTACAGGTGCATGCTACTATGCCCGATTTAATTTTTGATGTGTTGTAGAGATGAGTTCTTACCAAGTTGCCCAGTCTGGTCTCGAACCCCTGAGCTCAGGCAATGCTCTCGCCTCCGCCTCCCAAAGTTCTGGGATTACAGGCTGGAGCCACTGCACCTGGTCTAAAGGTTTCCTTTAAAATCTTTAAATTTTTTTTTTTTTTTTTTTTTTT